CATAAAAAAAGAGTCTTATATGATAATTAAACAATTCATAAGAAAATAATATACATTAATTAAAGCTTGGTAAGAGTTGAGCGGGTTGGGCTATAACTCAAATTTTAGCCCATCTCAGACCGTAACTCTTGAGCGGGTCATTGACTCACCCCATTTTGACCCGCCTAAAATCAGCTCAACCGTGCATTACAATTGAACTTGTAACTTAAAATAATTTCCGAACCCCCTTTGCCACTTCACGTGACTTTTTCCTTATGTAAGGAAGATTCAACAGTTAAAGTTTTAATTTATAACCTAAATTATTTTTCTCTATTTAAAGTATAATTTTTTAACAACTTCCTCCCCTTAGCTCCGCCACCACATGCAATAGAGCTATGCAGTGCTTCGGTAAGACATCCAAATGGAAGAAATTTCATGTACATAATGGAGGGAATTCTCTAATTTTCGTAAACTAATTTCAAGCTCGCTAATAGGTATTTTCAGCAGAATGCAAAGTTACTATCATATACAGAGGAATTATTAAAAAACAATTCAGACTCTTTTAATTGGATCAATATTTATTAGATTAAAAAAATATTGCATCGAAAAGTTGTATTTTTTGGGAATTATGATTTTTGTATGAATTGGTAAAACTCTTGTATAAGAAAACATCGTTATATGACTTTGATAAAAAAAAGTCATAATTGTATGCAAAAAATAATTAGTGACTTTAGTTCAATAAAATAAGATACTATATATATATATATATATATATATATATATATATAAAATTAACCCGTAAATAAAACATCAAATGCAAGTTGTCAAAATTAAGTTTTCTTTTAACATAGAAAATTTGGTTAAAATTTAAAATTTTGATTTATATTATTACACCTCTTCATCCCTCTCCAAGTCATGAAGCCTATTTCATCAAGATGAAATAGGTCCGTCCCTCTACCCTTTTCCGCTTTAATATTAGGCAGTAACACACTCATTTAATCTCTTACCACAACCTTTTCAAATAATCGATTCTTAAACTTTTTATCTCATACTTAAAAGGCATATAAAAAATTATGATCAAATATAATTCGTTTGACTCTCGAAATTCAAATACTATTACATAAATTGGGACGGAGGATAATAAATTAATAAAATTAATAATAATAATTTTCTGTAAAACAAGACGTGGGACGCATTCAAACAAGTTTTGAACATTATTTTATTAACGTTAATAAACGAGAATTCTAACACCGTGTTTCTGTTATCATATTTATTCGTCTGTCTCCCAAAACAGTAGTATGAATTCGCATGCCAATTTATTTTCCAAAAATTAATATTTTACTTGTCAACGGCGTGTATAGAAATACTAAAAATATTATTTTAAAAAATTGTATTAATTTAACATATTGTGTTAAAATTAATCAGATATACTCACATGTTAATTCATCATATTATGGATGTCACCGTAGGATTAACAGTTTGTTTGGATGGTTGTTATATATTGTATCGTATCATATTGCTGCTTTAAATATAATATTTATTTTAATTGGTATTTTAATTTTATTATATTGTATCGTTAAATCAGTTGCTACGTAGTGATAAAAAGACCGATTTGGTATGGTCGTTACCTTCTTTTTTTCTCATCTTGCTCTTACCATAATTCTATTTTACATTTCATCCTATCCTTTTAATAATTATTCTGCCTCATACTTTACTTTTTCTTTGTAATATTGTATGCCTATTCTTCAAATTGATAGTGTGTGACATATGAAATAACGAAAAACGATACAATTTATCCAAATAATATACTAAAATAATACAATACAATAAAATACAACATGATACGATACATTAAGAAATGATATGTAACAACCATCCAAACAAACTGTAACTCTTTTAAGTAAAGTTATAATCTTGTACGTTAGTTTTATACTTGGTTCTATAAGTGTTCCTCTTTTTCCCCATTAAGAATTAATCAGTTAAGTAATTAACTAGTATGTTGGTTTTTATTCCTTTCTCTTATATTTGCAGCTATGCGTTTGGCTTTTCCTCCATTTATATATTTGAAATTTATATAAAATTTGATTCGGCCGATCAGGGGCGAAGCTATGTTGGCCCAAGGGTGGTCAACTGACCACCCTTCGTCGAAAAATTATACTACGTATAAGATAAAATATTACTTATTATTGATTAAAAATAGATTTTGAACACCCTTGCATAACCCACTGGCAAAGCATGTTTAAAATTTGAGCACCCTTATTGAATTTTCTGGCTTCGCCATTGCGTCTGATGCCTTAGTATGTGTAAAATTATCAATCTACATTCTACAGTAAATTTTATGTGACTTTTGAAACTTAAGTGACAATTTTTCACCTTTTGAGAGCCTAAGTTTCAATCCTAAATTAGTTTGACTTAGCTAATGAATCATTTGTATGCATTCGTTCAATATTCAATCGATTTATCATAGTTAATCTTTGCCAGAACTTAAAACTATTTTTGTTTTGTGAATTCACGTTCGATGAGTTTTAAAATACTGCTACTTAACAATGACAATGACACAATTATTAGAAGCGTTAGATCAAAATAACTTAAGTTGGTATTAATATCTCTGAGGTATTTTGCAATTTTTTTCTTCAAAACGTAAAACTCTTCAATTGGAGCATTTGTATGCTTGATCCTCAATTGCACAACAGGATAGAGAAGGAAAAGATGGAATAGAGATTGTGAACGCTAAATTCACACTAAGAAATACTTCCCCACATATTACTAGACTATAAAACTTAGTAGAATTTTTAGGTATTTTTTCCGAGTTTCTCTCTATATTTTTCTTAAAAGAGAATGTGAAAGGTTAAAAAAGGAGTTAGGTATGAATTGTTAAATCTTACTTACAGATTGCTATTACATTAGAAGAAAAGGGATTTGGGAGAAAAAGTGGTAAAAGGGCTTGCATTGATGCAGCTACAACAACAACCTAATAAAATCTAACTAATGGGGTATGGAGAGGGTAGTGTATACGCAGACCTTACCCCTACCCCGAAGGAGTAGAGACTGTTTCCGATAGACTCTCGGCTCAAGAAAATAAAAAGACAAAAGGACAAAAGGAGACAATATTAGTATCACCACAACAATCATAGGAAGAAAAAGAACACCATGAAATCCAGAAGAAAGATGCAAAGCAAAAGCGATAGCTAGTAAATAGGTCATTCACTGAAAAGCGAAATAGTAAGACACAACATTGCCACTAGCTATCTTAGACAAAACCCCTACCTGGCTAGTCCCACAATGGTACGAAGTAAGGCAAGACTCAACTACCTCCTAACATACAACCCTAATACTCGACCTACACATCTTCCTATCAAGTGTCATGTCCTCGGAAATTTGGAACCTCGCCATATCCTGCCTGATCACCTCTCCCCAATATTTCTTAGGCCGCCATCTACTTCTTCTCGTGCCCTCCACAACCAGCCGCTCACACCTCCGTACCAGAGCATTTGGACTTCTCCTCTGAACATATCCGAACCATAACAAATAACTTTATGAAATGATAGTAACTGAATATATATACACACTAAATTCAGAGCTTTTGTTCTATGCAGTTACAACATAAGAAGAATTTTACATCATCGAATTAAATTGACCAATAAGATTTGTATAACATATTAAATTTAAATAATCGTGTAAGAATTTTTTCACTGTCAACAACAATAACAACCCAGTATAATCTCACTAGTGGGGTCTGGAGAAGGTAGTGTGTACGCAAACCTTACCCCTACCCTGAGATAGAGAGGTTGTTTCCGATAGACCCTCTGCTCCCTCCCCCAAAGAACTTCCCACCTTGCTCTTGTGGTGACTCAAACTCACAACCTCTTAGTTGGAAGTGGAGGGTGCTTACCACTTATAAATAAAAGAAGAACTAACCCAAATAGCCGTCCATCCAATTGCTTAAACTAAAAATAATCGGTAGATATATAATATATGCATAATTTATGTATTACATGTGTATAATTATGTATATTTAATGTATAATCTATGTATATGGCTAGAAAAAATAAAACAACAAATATTGCCGGCTATTTGTGTAAAGATATGCTCATTTTTAGTTTCTTCAAGTGTTATAGTTAGTTGAGATCTAAAAGGGTAAGGTAGCCGTTATCATTAGACATGACTCGTAAGTCGACATTCTGATCCATAAAGTGTGAAGGAATCCGATATTCAAAGCAAAATGTGACGTTAAAAAAGAAAAAAAGGAACACCTGGCACAAGAAGAAAGTATGCAGCGAAAGGTCAAACAAAGTTGATTGCAACATCTATTTTTAAAACCTTGGCTTACATTACATCATGCTTACTATGCCAAGAATTTTAGTGTTGCACTTGCAGTGAACTGTTACTAGTAAATGGCAACTCCAAAACACTTGTACTGTTGTACATACCTACAAAAACACCTGTACAGATAACATAATCTAACATCTCAAATTTCTCCAGTCATCTAATCTCATGAACATCTCTAAATCAATACCAAATCTTTACACTAGCCAGTTGCTGGAAGCTACAAAAGTTTGTCTGAATCCCATCCTTGCAACGATTTGAAGTTTAAATTCCTCCAGGCAGACAATTTTCGTCTATATTAGCAGTTCTTAGATTTGAGGAAGCCTCAGATTAACTCTAAAGTCTAAATACGTTCAGGCTTCAGCAAAACAGCTCCTGAACGACCATGACACATCCTTTTGAAGGCATTTGCTATATCTCCAAAGTACGTAGTAGTCTCAGCTATTCAAATCATTTCCAAACTTTCTGCTACTCTCCACCAGAAAATGAGAGAATTACGATACTTTGTTAAATGACAGGTTGAACTTGCAGCAATGAAGCGTTCCCANGGGGGAAGCAATAAGAGGAATAACTAGCAATAGCAAGTCTATTATTGTCCAAAATCAAATAACAAATCTTTAGGGCCTGGATTGAAATTAAATCTGAAACAATGTAAAAAAAACCACATCTCAATAAAAGCAGAAAGATATTCGAACCTAGTGCATAGGACATCCTGATGAAGAGAGCCTTGGCATTCTTGGCATTGTGTCCATAGCCTCCCAAAAAGCTTCTCTAGTTCAGCCACTGCATAGAGTTGTACACAGTTATCAAGCAATGATAAAGAAGTTCATAGCTCTCTGTCCTTCCCTATAGACATCTGGAAAAAAAATACCACATCCACTTGGGAAATGAGCAAAAAAAAAAGTGTTAGTAATGGGGATGTACCATTAGCCACGGATCTGCAATAAAGTTCAGCTTCTCTTCCTTTGCAGTGATTGCAGAGAGTTCGATCAGAACCACTGGATGAAGGAGCAGAGAAGTTAATAAACTATTCTGCAATATTTACTATAGCTTTTTCCAGGAAATAAGCAAGCAATACATCCGCTCAACTCTCCAGAGAAGTTCATAATGCTTTGATCCACTTGGTCCCATTTCACCTTAAACTTTTTCGCCAGAGAAATACTCTCCATTTTATAAATATAAATGATCATTTCATAACTCTAAGGTAGTCTCAACACTCCCACCTATCATGTCACCAAGAAAGCATGAAATTCAGCTAGGAATGGCTGCTATACTGACTCTTCCAAGATATCTTATAATTACATAGGGAACTTAAATTAGCAATTGAGCAAATTTTAGATCTACAGATTGGAGAAGGACCACTATCAGGCAGATGCTTTTAGCAAAGGTTCGAAATACAAATACTATGTCTGTAACTCACAAGTCAAGGAGAATGTTGAGAGGAAGGCCTCATTTCCCTTAGATATAAAACAGAAACTTCTCTTGTAAAATTTAAAGGGACAAGAAAGAAAAACTGCACCTGATTAGTGCTTTGCATCCAATGCAAGTGAGTTGCTTCTTAGCAAATTTCATAATACCACTGTTTGAAGGGGTCGATATTGAGATCGATCTTGTATGACTTCCTTGAAGAAGCTCTTTACTTGCATTCTTCAGTATTGGCTCAAAAATCCTCAGAAGTGGCTGATATAAAACATATTTGTTAAAAGCAGGTAGAATGAATTTGTTAACTTAAAAGAAAAATCTAGCCATACTGACCTTACTAATTTGATTTTCAAGATAGTAATGAGGATCTATAGGTATGTTGTTCTCTAATACGTAAATAGGGTCCTCTGACTTTTCATATGCCTGCTTGTCATAACATAACCATGATTTGACACAAGCACACAAAATGTGGAGTTTGTTATCACATATTAAATCAGTTGGATGATTACCTTGGAACCTTTTGCAGCTTTAATGATGACGTAAGGTACTCTATCACCAATATTAGGTGCAGTAGCAGCATCTCGCTATCATCAAATCAAAGTTTTTCATCAATTTCATTTATACGTTGCACAAAAGGTATAAGAATCCTAGAAATGTGCAAGTTCCAGAATAGTTCAATGGGCAGATCCTCTGCCATTTTATTGTATTCAGAAGGAGGATAGCATGAAAGCTATTGTGTTCTTTGGGGAGCATAGAATAGGTTAAGACAATTAAATCACCACTCCAGCTTTAAATAACTAGAGTGCAGGGATGTAATGGTCTAACCTACAGAGAGATAAAAGAAATAAACAAACAAAAAAATGATAACTTGATTACTCCTAGTTTTGCTTCAGTACAAGATTACAAGTGCATACAGGTTTGAGTGCAGCAATGAAGGTTTGATTTCGGAAAAAAGTTTGAAATCTCTGGAAAGAGAAATCCCACCCTTATATTTAATAGGTTCAAGAGTTAAGCCCCTTTCCGGAAAATACTAGTAAGATATATTTCTCAGCCAAAGAGTCTGTTTTAACTATATATACAGAAGAGCTATAATGTAAAATTCATGAATTTCAAATTCAAATAGAGTAAATTGTCGAAGAGATACTTGGCTCCTTGGGCTATATTTCTATCTTAGGTTGTGAAAGAATCTGAGCATCTAACCCAAAACCTTAAGGCAATGAGTGGACTGACCCATGACATTATAAATCCCTTTAGAAACTCTTATACAACCAATAAAGGACAAGTGTATGCTTAACTCCCTCCTGCAAGTGTAACTCGGTTCTATAGTTTACACACGGATTTTCGAAAACTTTCTTCTTTTTCTTTAAGAAGACTGAGGAATGGACCTGAAGTAGAAGGAGAGCAGGTAGAAAAGTGGGCCTGAAGCGGAGGAAGAGACAATAGGCTAAAGAAATGGGTCTGGAGTAGAGAGAGTGAGTAGGTTCGATAGGCTACGGAATGGCATGAAACAAAGTTAGTGATTCATGGGCTGAATTGAGAGAAAGAGAAGTCCGAAGCGATACAATATTAGCAAGAAAGGGTTATGAAACCAGGCTTACCAAAGTTTGATTCCAATACCATGTGAAATAGCTGGCTATCCAAACCAAAACCTTAGACAATGAGTTTAGTGGCCCATGACATTATAAATTCGTTAGACACTCTTATAGAATCAAGGTCAAGGGTATGCTCAAACATAGCCATAGGCGGATCTACATGGTAGCAAGGGTGTTCAACCAAACCCCCTTCGCAGAAAATTTTATTAATTTTATGTGATATTTCACAAAATATCACTAATATTCAACATATATGCTACTTTGAACACTCTTGAACAAAGAAACAAAGCTGGTATAACGGTGCAGGGGGTTCAAGCCAAGTGTTCGATTCTTGCTTTCCTCTATGCGCTTTTTTTTTTTTTTCCATTTATGGACAGTTGTTTTACCATTTTTGTCATAATTTTACCCAGGGAAACAGAGTCCTTTGTTGCTTTTTAATATTTGCTTCATTTTTCAACAAAAACTACAACCCCTCTCCCCCTCTCTTCATTCATTTTTACTGAAGCCTCGCGTTTCTTTTACAGTTCTTCGACTTCTTTCTTCTATTTCTTCTTCTTTTTCTTTTTAAGTACTATTATTAGTATATTAGTGATATGTATATTTGTTGTGGTTTAGCTAAGGATTGTATCTGAACATCTTCCTAAATATGTTTTATTATTAAAAAATTCTAAACATCCGTAGTTGGCTTTTTTTAAAATTATTTTATGATATTTGCATTTCGCATTAGCTTTTTAAATTAAAAAGAAAAAGTTACTTCAAAACAACGTAGTAATGTTTTAGTTTTGATCTAACATATTATTAATTTAATTTTAAACATTAGTTCATTTTGTATTTTACTTCAATTTTTTTATGTAAACCCCATGAACGAAATTTTTTACTGTTCCTTCTATAAATGTCGCCGAATAAAAAAATCTTTTTTCAAATCTTGAATCTCCATGCTAAAGATCCTTCGTCGGCCACTGAACATAAAGTAAAGAAAATATTGGAGCTATTAATGTTCCAACAAATTTTTAAGCAGCGTAGAAGAGGAACGAGAAAAATCCCGAAGTTGTTATACCCAATATAGTGGTTGTTCAGCACATTAGTTGCACCAACTGTATCAGATGCTACAAAATAATATTATAATATCATTTTAGATTTATCTCCTAAATTAGGATAACTTTATTGGCAGAGTTCATCAGAAAGGTAAAATGTGCTCACTTCTTTTCACAATCACATTCAGTTCAAACAGGTTAGGTTGCAAAATATTGCAGAAAGGCACAAAAAGTTGAAAAGTTAGCTTTTTATTAAACATACAAGTCAAAAGGATGAATTGCTGAGGCTGAATTTACTTGATCGTATTAGAGGTTGGATGCTGAGAAGGGGGGCAAGTAAATCAACTGAATCATAAGGTAGACTAAGCAGAAGAACTGAGAGAACTTTTGAAGCTCTTACAGATGAACATTACAACTGATTCTTTTCATGCTGAAGTGACCATAATTAATCATATAAAAAGGACTGAAATAGTCATATAAACAGGACTGGAGAATTTGGTTAAATAACTAGTGAACAGTTTGAAACTTTTGCATTATCTTTTAAAACCTGAGAAATATAAACCAGTTGGCAGCTAGTTTGTATTATTAACAGCAAATTCGAGTAGTACTGGAATCCTTGGCACAAAAACCAGCGCAGAATTTCACAAAAGTAAGCTACTGACAACAAAACTTAAATATAGTGATTTCTTTTTTTTTTTTTGATGACCGAGAAATCCGTCTGGGGCCGATCCTTTGGACCAACAGCAGCCTTCGAAACTCAGTGGATAATGGGCCCGCACCTCTACCCTTCTCCACTTAAATACCAGGCTTTGCTTTGCATGGTGTGGGGGCTTGAACCTGTGACCTAAGACACAAATCCACCACCCTTTGCCACTTGAGCTAGGCCCTGGGGGCTTAAATATAGTGATTTCTGGTCTAAGTCTTATCTATAATTATGAGTATTAAAAGCGCAGAAGTTTTGGATGAGAACAGCCTTGCCACGAGAAATAAGGAACAAATGCCAAACATAATGAGAACATATTAGAAGGGGAACTTAACAGCTTAAGTTGAATAAATTTCAACCAGCAAATACTTTTGAGCATGATGCTAGAGATCAATCTTCACAGACAAAGGACACAAGTAACTGCTCTTGAAGATATTGAACCAAGATTAGAATGATAATAATTTCCACTAAGCTTTTAAGAAATACACAAATACATAATGTTTTACCAACCTTGCGCATTCGCTCTGCAAGTTCAACATGTGCTGCCTTTACTTCATAATCATCTCCAGTTTTCGTCAGACCCTGTTGAACTTAAGTAGTTAGAAAATGCTAAACTAACAATTTTGAAATATTCAAACAAGTTGCAAGAAGCAAAAGCCCCACATGCACCTGATTTAAGAGTATTCTCACCTTAGTAATAACCAAAAGAGATAAATCCATGCGGTTCATGAGAAGATCTGAGATAGTATTCTTGACATATTGAACAGCACCAGGAACATCTCTGTCCATTAGTATTTTATGAAGGCACTCGGTTACAAGGTTCTTGACCAAGAGACAATTATCCCTCCGAACAGTTTCAATCCCTGTTGAAAATTGGTAAAACTGTAACAATTCATCATCACAATATGCACCTTGTGAGAAGGCACGGGAGAAAATATATTATTGATATATTGAATGAATGAATAATACTACACAAGAGGTCCTTATTTATAGCTATACTATACAAGGACATACTACTCCTCTACCAATGTGGGACAATACTATACTATATACATGCTGTAAATTAATACTCCCCCTCAAGCCGGTGCATACAAATCATATGTACCGAGCTTGTTACATATATAACTAATACGAGGACCAGTGAGAGACTTGGTGAAGATATCTGCAAGTTGATCATTTGACCTCACAAACTTTGTAGCAATCTCTCCTGAAAGTATCTTTTCTCTGACGAAGTGACAATCAATCTCAATGTGTTTAGTTCTCTCATGGAACACCGGATTTGATGCAATATGAAGGGCAGCTTGATTATCGCACACAAGTTCCATCCGACTGATTTCACCAAATTTTAACTCCTTGAGCAATTGTTTGGTCCAGACTAGCTCACATGTTGCCATAGCCATTGCTCGATATTCTGCTTCTGCACTAGACCGAGCAACTACATTCTGTTTCTTGCTCTTCCAGGACACCAAATTTCCTCCTACTAAAACACAATATCCAGACGTAGAACGTCTATCAGAAGGTGATCCTGCCCAATCAGCATCTGAGTATCCAATGATCTGCTCATGACCTCGATCCTCAAAGAGTAACCCTTTGCCTGGAGCCGATTTTATATATCGAATAATGCGGACAACTGCATCCCAATGACTATCACAGGGAGAATTCATAAACTGACTTACCACACTCACAGGATAGGAAATGTCGGGTCTAGTCACTGTGAGATAATTTAATTTTCCAACCAGCCGCCTATAGCTTGCAGGATCGCTAAGCGGCTCCCCCTGTCCTGGCATAAGTTTAGAATTCGGATCCATCGGAGTGTCAACAGGTCTGCAACCTATCATCCCCGTCTCCTCAAGAATGTCTAAAGCATATTTTCTTTGAGAAATAACAATACCTGAGCTAGACTGGGCAACCTCAATACCCAGAAAGTACTTCAATCTGCCTAGATCCTTAGTTTGGAAGTGCTGGAAGAGATGCTGTTTCAGGTTGGTAATACCATCCTGATCATTGCCAGTAATAACAATATCATCAACATAGACTACCAGATAAATACAGAGACTTGAAGCAGAGTGCCGATAAAACACAGAGTGATCAGCTTCACTACGAATCATGCCAAACTCCTGGATAACCGTGCTGAACTTACCAAACCAGGCTCGAGGAGACTGCTTTAGACCATAAAGTGACCGACGCAAGCGACATACAAGGCCACGAGACTCCCCCTGAGCAACAAAACCAGGTGGTTGCTCCATATAAACCTCATCCTCAAGATCACCGTGAAGAAAGGCATTTTTAATGTCCAGCTGATAGAGGGGCCAATGACGAACCGCAGCCATGGATAGAAAAAGGCGGACTGAAGCCACTTTAGCCACGGGAGAGAAGGTATCACTGTAATCGAGCCCAAATATCTGAGTATATCCTTTGGCAACAAGACGGGCCTTAAGTCGATCAATCTGTCCATCGGGACCAACTTTGACTGCATAAACCCAACGACAACCAACAGTAGATTTACCTGAGGGAAGAGGAACAAGCTCCCAAGTACCACTTGTATGTAAAGCAGACATCTCGTCACTCATAGCCTGTCGCCATCCTGGATGAGACAACGCTTCACCTGTAGACTTAGGGATGGAAACCGAGGACAAAGAAGATATAAAAGCATAATGGGGAGATGACAGACGATGATAGCTCAAACCGACATAATGAGGATTAGGGTTAAGTGTGGTCCGTATACCTTTCCGAAGTGCAATCGGTGTACTAGGAGCAGGGTCCGCAGCAGGAGCAGGGTCAGGTGCAGGACGAGAACCAGTTGGGCCTGATGGAGGACGCAAACGACGATGATAAGTCAAGAGTGGTGTTCCTGTGGCCGGGGAATTAGGGGGAACAACACTAGACTCCTCAACTGTTGGTATGGATGAAAACTCTGTGGTCGAAGGTGGAGGAGGAGCTATAGTAAACTCCTCAAAGGTCGGTATAGGTAGGACCTCAGATATATCATGGTGGTCAGCAGAGGTAAAGAAAAGTTTAGACTCAAAAAATGTGACGTCAGCTGACATAAGGTACCTACGAAGATCTGGAGAATAACAACGATATCCCTTCTGAACACGAGAATAACCAAGGAAGACACACTTGAGAGCACGGGGAGCTAACTTATCTTTCCCAGGGGCTAAGTTATGAACAAAACACGTGCTCCCAAAAACACGAGGTGGAAGAGAGTATAAGGGTGACTGGGGAAACAATACTGAATGCGGAATCTGATTCTTGATGGGAGATGAAGGCATCCGATTAATCAAATAACAAGCTGTGAGAACTGCATCGCCCCAAAAACGCAACGGAACACGAGATTCAATTAGAAGTGTGCGAGCAGTCTCAATAAGGTGCCTATTCTTTCTCTCAGCAACCCCATTTTGCTGAGGGGTATAAGGACAAGATGTCTGATGAATAATTCCCTGAGAAGTCATAAACTGCTGAAATTGAGAAGATAAATATTCTAAGGCATTATCACTGCGAAAAATGCGAATAGAAACACCAAATTGGTTTTTGATTTCAGCACAGAAACTCTGGAATATAGAAAATAACTCAGAACGATCTTTCATTAAGAAAAGCCAAGTACATCTTGAATAATCATCAATGAAACTGACAAAGTAACGAAATCCCAAGGATGAACTGACTCTACTAGGACCCCATATATCAGAATGAACTAAGGAGAAGACAGACTCTGCATGACTCTCAACACTACGCGAAAAGGAGGCTCGGGTATGTTTCCCAAGTTGACACGACTCACAATCTAATGTAGACAAACTAGATAAACTAGGCACCATCTTCTGAAGTTTGGATAAACTCGGATGTCCTAAACGTCTGTGGATTAGATCTGGAGGATCTGTAACTAGACATGTTGTGGAAGGACTGAGTGAGTTAAGGTAGTAAAGGCCTTCTGATTCACGTCCTGTACCAATTGTCTGTCCCGTACTGCGGTCCTGCATAATAAAAGAATCGTCAATAAAATATATACCACAATGGAGGGCACGAGTCAAACGACTAACAGATGCAAGACTAAAAGGACAGCCAGGGACATAAAGAACGGAATCTAGGGTGATAGAAGACAAGGGATTAGCTTGTCCAACTCCTTTTGCCTTAGTTTGACATCCATTGGCTAAAGTAACAGTGGGAAGAGACTGTGAATATACAATATTTGACAAAAGTGATATATTACCAGAGATGTGATCAGAAGCGCCGGAGTCCATGACCCATGGGCCAAGAGTGCTAGACTGGGAAACACAAGCAAAAGAATTACCAGAAACAGAAGTATCAGTCTGAGCAACTGAGGCTACTTGTGGAGATGTCTGCTTACTTGCTCGATACTGAAGGAGCTCATTATATTCTTCTTTAGATAAAGAAAATCCTTGGTTACCTGGAGTCTCGGTCTGAGCAATGTAAGCATTTTTGGGTGGACGACCATGTAAGGAATAACACATTTCACGAGTGTGTCCAAGTTTGTGACAATAAGAACACTTGGGTCTAGATCTTCCAAAACGACCTCCTCCTCGTCTATGCTCCATAGTTTGAGATGCCCGAACATCCATTGTCTGGGATGCAAGAACAGAGGAATCAAGTATCTGTGATGAGCTCACTGGTGGACTTGGTGCTGCAGCAAGGCGGAGTAATCGAGAGAATAATTCATCAACTGTCGGGACAGACGGACTAGCCAAAATCTGGTCGCGTACTGAATCAAGATCATTAGGAAGTCCAGCGAGGGTAAGAACGAGAAACATCTTCTGTCGCTGCTCTTGTTGTTTTTCCACACTAGCAGAAACTGGCATCAACTTCTCAAATTCCTCCATGACTGCCTGTACTTGACCCAAGTAAGTAGACATATCCAATTCCTGCTTCTTTAAGTTTGTCATCCGTGATATCACATCATAGAAGCGAGATATGTCATTAGTGTATAAGGTGCGTGCCTTTGCCCAAACCAAATAACATGTCTGGAATGGACGAAACAAGGGCATCAACTTGGAATCAATAGATCGCCACAAGATGCTACATAACTGAGCATCGATTTTTGCCCAAAGTGCTATTGCCTTTTCATCTCCATCGCTAGACTGTTTGATTAGATGATCTTGAACACCTTGACCTCTACACCATAACTCGACAGATGAAGCCCAAGCTAAGTAGTTTGAACCTCCCATTAAAGGTTCCGAGGTAATAATAGCACTAGAGTTTCCAGAACTCATGTTTCTAGACCCAAAAGCATCAAATCCCAAAGACATTGTTGCAAATTATTACCAAATAGGAGAAAGAATCAACTGTAATCCACTGAAACAGTGTACGGAAACACAGAAACAGAATACTGAAATACTGTAGCTGCCGGAATCTACTGTAGCTGTCGGAATAGTACTGTAGCTACCGGAAAAAACTCAAAGTTGTCGGAATGAAATGAAAACAGTAGGGGTAGGATCGGAATTACCAGGCGACCCAACTGTTCTGAAGGAAGATTTTCAAAAAATGGCCGGAAGTGGTCGTACGCGCCGGCGCGTGAGCTCACGCGCGTGAGCTTCTGGTGGCGCGTGAGGCTGCTTCTGCCGGAGTTGTTCACTGGGGTTTGGTCGCCGGACAGTGACGACTCTTGTGGTAGTGTTGGATTTTGCACAACACTGACAGAAATGAAGCAGATAGAAAACAACCTTAAAAAATACTGATTTCTCTTTCCCGAAATCGCTGGAATTTATGCACAGCGATAAGTCTCTCACAATTGCTCTGATACCATGTGAGAAGGCACGGGAGAAAATATATTATTGATATATTGAATGAATGAATAATACTACACAAGAGGTCCTTATTTATAGCTATACTATACAAGGACATACTACTCCTCTACCAATGTGGGACAATACTATACTATATACATGCTGTAAATTAACACACCTAATGAATGAAGAAATAGAGTAAGAATAATTAAATTAAAGGTAACACATATAGCATTTGCTATTTTTCAAGGACAACGTTATGAATGAAGGTTAGTGTTGAAGGGTGAGAGAAGTTCCAAGAATATGCTCACGATGAAAAGGTTAGGTAGCAAGCAGCTCACCTTTAGCGTCCATTTTGTCATGTTTGTCTGGATTTGTCCATAGAAGGCCGGCATATCTCTTCTTGCTAATCAGCAGATATGGATAATATATCTTCTCAAATTCTAGTCTTAATGGCTGAAAATCAATATGCCACCACAGGACAGAAAGGTGAAATGAAGAAGAAATTTGACAGAAGATGAGATTAAAATTATATCAGGCCACTAATGAGAACACATCTCAATATTTTAACATTTTCGAATTCCATTTTAGCAACAAACGTGGCAGGGAATCTCACAAGTTAACAAGCTTCCACACTAGAATACCATAAACCACGATAATTTTAATTGCATCAAGTTGAAAAAGAAGTTATAGTTATACTACTTATCAGAAAGAAGTTATACTGATGGAGAACGTAAAGTTTTCTAGTTTCTGATGCTTTTCAGTTATTCCTCTTCATGATATACCCGAATTAAGAATATGATATAACCATGACAAACTACAAAACACCTACTGGGCATTATCAGATAGCAATAACTGACCAACTGAATAAAGAGTATAAAAACTTCACAGATAACAGATTAGTGGCATGTATTACTGTTAAAGCAGACTCAGACTTAATGCAAGACATAATGATAGACAAAGAAGACCAAGAAATTGCACTGAGGTTACCTATCTCGAAAAGTGTTTAGATACTACTGATAAAAAGTGTTTAAAACAACTAAATCTACTGATTAAGAGAAGCACCACAGGTAAAATATGGACTGTCCCCATGTTTCCAAAACCATACCTGCAATTAGGGGTGGCAAACGGGCGGGTTGGGTCAGATATGGGACGGGGCGAAAACGGGTAATGATAAAATGGATAAATTATCCGATCCGACCCATATTTAATACGGATAAAAAAACGGGTTATCCGGCGGATAATATGGGTAACCATATTATCCATGGCTTCATGAATATGATCACTAGTCTCCCAAACTTGAGGAACCCCCAATTTGAGGTTTTACAAATATAAAAGTTAAACTCATTAGTTATCCATTTTCTAAATGGATAATACGATTCTTATCCATATTTGACCCGTTTTTAAAAAGTTCATTATCCAACCTATTTTTTAGTGGATAATATGAGTGGTTAACTGTTTTCTTTTAACCATTTTGCCACCCCTACCTGCAATGAAATATCATTTAATTGATCGATGTCAGATATTCAGCAGAAAAAAGCAATCATGTTCTCATCAAATTTCTAAAAGAGGATTGTCCACTGAATTCATATAGAAGAAAAAGAACACCAAATATACGAAAATAAAAGAGAAGGTTGGGACACACTTTGATAAATGTCTCACTAATGTGGTCAGCAGCTTCTCTACCCAATTTCATAGCCTCTTCCACTGTAGGCACACCAAACTGCACCATCACCGAATCTGTATCTCCATATATAACCTGATATCATGAAACAATCACAGTAAGAGAAACAATTTTTAGATAAAGTTAATAATCTGTTGCTGTAAAGGGAAATCCTGGCATACAAGATGTATGCCATGTATAGAGTCTTATCACACATGCTTTTTATAATGAACATAAGTAGTCAGCAATAACTAGAATATCATGGGTTCCAAGAATATGCAAGAAATGAAAATGTTCTACAAGTCCTTAATGGGTATTTTCTATCCATTCGAACACTCTTCTATCATTTCTCCGTGCTGTCCACACAAGCGCCAATGGAGCTAATTCCCTCGCTCTTCTTCTCTATCTCTTCCTTCTGAATTTCCACCCTAGCAGCATATATGTAACATTTCTTGACATCACCATTCAACTCCAAACATGTCCCACATCATACACCATAATCTATATGCAATCAGGCAATGAAGTATCAAATGCTTTGACATTTTCCCCACTTGCACAAGCAACAGATGATGTGTAGTTTCCTTGTTAGATTCTCCATGGCTTCCATGCTACTGTCCATGTGAAAAGCAACATTAGTAGGTGCTCTCGAGGAAATCTCTTTTTACTCGCGACAACATGCCACTCCTCTATTATTCCCATTTCTTGTTATTTCTGGCCATAAGCAACACTTTTTGCTTATATAGTAATCCAAGCTAGCTATTAAGCTCTAATATCTCCCGGTTCGCAAGCTTCTCCAAAATTTTAGGTCTCATGGTTCCTCCTCCATGTTCCTTACTAATATAGCTATCTGCTAGCGAGAGATATTAACTGACTGGAAATTTCACATGATGGGGCATCACCGCACCAATTCTGTTGTCAAAAAGTTGATTCTAGTTCCATTGCATTTTTTAAACATGATATTCCTCTCGAAAATACTTCTGTTCTTTCATTATTCCATTTCGAAAAGAACCATTCCATACAGCAAATGGTATCTCATTGGTCCTACCAACCCCCAACCCCCTCCAAGGTTCATCCTTGTCAACAAACAAAACGATCTTTTTTTTATTGGTAACATCAACATTTCTCTAAAACACATGATCTGCAATTTTAGTTCTCCAAATCCATTCCCTAGTAAAGCCTTATTAAACACACTCAGATTTCTCATACCTTAATCAGATGGTAAACATTTCACCTCCCAACTTGCTTGCACAGAAAGTTTCTTTGCGATTTATCCAACCTTTCTGCCAGACACCAATACAAGCATTAAGGACCAATAATAAGCCAAATGCTAAACAAAATATTCCTGATCAGCGTCTCTTTTCCCCTTAATGATACGTATCTCTTGTGTCAGACTTTTGGCTCTTCTTAACCCACAATACTGGGTTTCATACTGCATAGTCCTTGTGAGTCGCAGCAAAGATGGTCCCAGTTAAGTTGCTAATAGCCTGTTTGGCCAAGCTTCTCCAAGCCAAAATCACTTTTTAAGTGCTTTTTTCCAAAGTTGAAGTGTTTGGCCAAGCGTTTATAGGCAAAGAAATTGCTTTTGAGTAGAAGCAGAAGCAGTTTTGGAGAAGCAGAAAAAAGTAGCTTCTCTCCAAAAGCACTTTTGAGAAAAATACACTAAGAAGCAGCTTTTAAAAGCTTGGCCAAACACTGATTCTCACCAAAAGTGCTTTTCAAATAAATTAGCCAAACATAAACTGATTCTCACCAAAAGTGCTTTTGAGAAAAAGCACTTCTCAAAATAAGCTGATTTTTGCAGCTTGGCCAAACAAGTTATAAGATCCCGACCTTACAACAGAGAACCCTCTATCAACTGTCTGATGTAATCCACCTTACTCACTGCAGTGATTTTGTACTTTAGGTTTTCTTTAAACTCGATAATGCTTGAAGCCATAGTAGTATGCTCTACGGGTGATGGAGCGAACTCAACCCCAAAAGCAAGCCCATGATGTGAGGATTGACCAAGACTATATATAGGGAGACAACATTGATATCTCAACCAATGTGGGACACTCTAAAAATACTTACAGGATGTTGATAGGAAATCTCTAGCATGTATGATTTGGAATCTAAGGAATAACTATAGACAATGTACCTCAGCATTGTGTTCATACCCCTTAAGTACTGTGAACTTGTCCTCCACAAGCTTTTTTGTCTTCTCAATCATCTGTCGACCTAGGAAGATGAAGCACATGTCAGAAAACAAGTAGTTGACTTAGCTTTCTATAAAACAATGTTTCAACTGTTCAGTGTCATGTAATAAAATTGCTACTAATAATTGCATTACCATAGCTAGTAACACTTGAAGATATTTCTAAACATGGTAATTGACCAACAGTAGCTCCAGTAAACCCATATACTGAATTTGCACTAATCTGCAAAACCACAAGACATCAGTAGCTCAATTGACCAGACTAAATTCTTTTTAGTTCTAAGGCAGTTGTAGTACCTTGAACACAAAGAACCAAAGTCATATATCTGGCAAGAAAAAGTGAAAGCAGATCACACTTACAAAATTAGACATTCACTAACTCTACACGAATTACCTTCAAAGCTAGCTGACGTCCATCTAAGACAGCTTTGACTAAAGGATCTTTTGCTTCCTGAAACCAAAATATATTGTCACAACTCAATTTCAGAGGCTAACTTGTATTAAACTACTCACCATCTGTTAGATATGGAAATAGGAAGATTTAATTGTAAAATAGTAGAATAGGTATAAGTGTTCCATACCAGATTAATGTAACTATGTACACTACAAAGTGTTCCTATAAGAGTATTTACGTGTAATATAGTTGTCCGCACATTCCCTCAATCTAGTCTTCGCATAATATATTGATGTCGTTGAATATCCCCAAAGCTAGATTTCTAAAACTGGATCAGAAATACTCCCAATAAATATTTTTTTATAAGTATACGTAAATATTTTATATATGTTAGCACCAAGAATATGCTAGTATGAAAATCTTTACACCAAACTAAGTCCTCACAGATTGTGTAGAGAACTAATGAAGTCAACCATGGCTTCTACATCATTAGTATCATTTACATTTTCCATATTACTCCAAAAAGAAAGCAAAGAAATGCAATTAAATTTATGACTAGTAATATTCTTCTTTTTTTCTTCAAAAAGTCTTCAGTTTCTCTCCATATAATCCACCAAATAGTTGCTCCCAATAAAAATCCAAATTGAAGGATTCTATCGAACATTAGATAGAAGAAAATTACAAAGATTGAACACCAGAATGTAATGCAAATAAGCTAACCAGGATCCAAGAAAACAACATAAATCATAAAACTTTAGTTTACACCTTTAAATCTGCTTTTGCTCTTTTGCGAGCGGCCAATAGTTCTTCAAGAATTTCTGGAAGTATCCCCTGATGGAAAACAATTCAAATTATCATAATTAAAACAAGAACCTAAATAAAGGAATTACACCAACAGTTATATTTACCTTCTGTAAATCTGACTTGACAAACATTTCACCAGAAGGGGTCTTGTTGACATCCACTTCACAGAGGTTTAGTTTGTGGAACTCTTCAGGAGTTACCTAGGATGAGAGAAGAAAACCGAAACTTAGAACTGGTAGCATCAATGTGGAGATATTAACACTCAGCACTTAGTTCTCAGGTGTCACCAACATAAATTGAAAATTCAGGTAGAAAAGAAATATCATTGTCAAACGAAGAACACTTACTAGCGTGCAGTAACATAAATTATATGCCATCATGATCGACGGATATAGAGATGCAAAATCCAAAGTTGCAATTGGCTTCTCATAAAAACCAGCTCGAGCCTCCAAAACCTGTGTCCATATATTTTGACATGAAAATTACACAAGATATATAATTAGTATCTTCAACCTGACAAATCAACATCAAGGAAATAAAAGGTGTGATGGTAATATTTGATAGTCCTCCAAACATCCATGATTAACAAGGGTAATAGATCATACATCAAGCTTAACACAACAGGATCTTTGCACGTGTTAACTTTTCTTTTCCAGCAACAATATTCAGCTATTTGATGGATAAAAACTTTTTTTCTTACCGTCGCACCCTCATATGTTCCTTGCTCAGATCCAGCCTGTTTTACATTTGGTATAACAAGATTCCTTTGCCTCGCCTTCCTTAAAAGTTGAGAGAGTACCTGAAGATAGAGGCTGTTAGTTAAATTTCCACTGGAGAAAAATGAAGCAAGTTTAGGACTAACCTTAATGCTTTGCCCTCTTGCGAGAAGAAAAGATATAGGTACACCAGTAACTCGAGCCATCTCCACATAGTTATAAATGAACATTAATTTATCCAAAAGCCGTTGCGGGAGATAAGCATCCTGTAATGGAACTAATGCATTCAGTTTTTTTGTATAGTGAAACTGAATATTCACAATTTCATATCAGCAAATTACATTTCCATCAAACTCATCCAAACTTCCAATCACTAGATTCTATAGCCATTACTACTCATTAACCTATATCAAAATTTAAAGATAAGGAGCTACGCTGCTCAAAGTTCCTTAAAGAATCAGAGAGGAAGCTTTCTTTTTAATAACTAACTTGAGCTCATAACAATTTCATGTCAGAGCAAATTCTTTGGACTCCCATTAGATTTGTTTCTTACATGCTAGACCACAAACTGGATCCTTCTAATCTGTGCAAAGGAAGTTGACAAACACTTCGCTGAACAGTCTGCATTGACAACCTTAAATTTTCTTATCAATGGAGCATTGCTAACCAAATGGAATCTGTACTAAGTTGCCACATAAGGTAATTAGACGCCATTCTTAAAAATATGTATAATAATAGTATGGGAACATATTACAGTGATACTAGTTATAAGAGAGACAAGAAGCAGAATGACTAGTTCCCCATCAAGTATATGTTTGTTTCCTATAAGCTCAAATGGCATTTAAATCATGGAAAGTAAATAGTGGCCATGACTGCAAAATTATAATGGTTGAGGACCTTGCTACTTTGAAGCTAAGTTGCTCGGACTCGGGTGCGGGTGTCCGATACGGGTGCAGATCTAGAGGTCAGATCCTTCATGATCTAAATTTAAAGATTCGGAGGTGCGGATCCAGGTACGGATACGGGTGCGGGGATTCGGCTAAAAATAATTCAATTATTTAAAAATAGAGTTATAAAAATATGTCTAAATTATGAGACATTATGTGAAAAACTTACAAGGTATTCCGAGAAGGAGAAAATATTGAACAAGAGTAGAATTTTAGAAGGAGATAAAAGGAAAAGGACTGACATAGAAATTTATATATACAAGGTATTCCATTTTCTTCCATATCACCCTAGCTTTTGATTTGTTTTCAAAAATCATTGTATCTGTCCCAAATTTTTCCGTTGATTTTGGTCAAAGTACCCAAAATCGGTTGACCAGATCTGACACGGATCCCACACCCATACCCACACCCACGTCGTGTCGACACGGGTGCGGCACTGAAAGTGAAGAGTCCGAGCAACTTAGCTTTGAAGACCACCTTTTGTCACAATTTGAAGATAACCCAGGACGATATAGGCATGACATAGTTAATGGACCATATTGATAATATTGTATCTTCCATGAAATATTGGCCAAAGATTTCCACACAAGATTCAGTTGTAAAACAATAGACATACCTATAGATTAAATCATCATGTACCAGAAAAGAAAAAAGAGAAATCATTGTGGGCTGATCAAAAGCTTAATGGATCACTAGATGGAGAAAACGGGTTTGGACCAAGTCCCCATATCCCAACCTTCTTATGCTATGCGAGATATTTGCAAGCTCTTCCCTAGTTACTGGTAGGCCCAGCGTCTGACTGTACTAATGCTTGTGGACTGACATCGCATTAATTTGTGCGGTAGCTATAAGGAGAGTGCAACAATTGTTTTTGCACCAAGGCTCCTGAGCTAGTCAAAGAGCTCTTCCCAGATAATGCAGGGCCAACAACATTGTCATGGAACTGCAATCCCAGAGGGCTAAAGACCCCAATTCGTGTGATTTGGCATTTCAAATCACTTCATTGGGCGTTCTAAACATGGACATTGTAACTCAGAGTGCCAATTTGTTGATTGACTTAATTATTAGGAAAGGTTTGATTATGATTAAGATTTGAGTTTACATTGATTGATTGTAATTTATTTCCCTTCCTAAAATAGTCATAGGACCTAGTGTATAAATACTTTTGCTTAGGGATGTAAGAAATACAAAAAGTCTTTTCTTCTTCTCAAAAATCTACATGGTAAAAGAGTCATTGCTGCCTTTTTGAGGTGAGTTATCTCCTTCACAGTTAGGGTTCCGTTTTTATGAAAGAGGTTGAGGTGTCTCTCTTGGTGATTGTCAACAACACAAACTCCTTATGGTCAATTTTTTTGGAATTTTCTTTTCTGTTGGGGTCGCTAAAAGATTCCGAGCCTATCCCTACCGGTTTTGATTTTTCCGTTCACCGAAGTTAAGGTTCCATCGAGACAAATTTGGTTTCCGGGGAGGCATATTATTTTTGAGCAATTTTCTTCATATTTTCTTCTTATTGGGCAGAAAATATGGAGACATTTGTGAGAAAGCACGGGAGAATATATTATCGATATTAGATACTCAATACAATACAAGAGGTCTGTATTTATAGCTATACTCTACAAGGACATATTACTCCTATTCCAATGTGGGACAGTAAACTAACACTCCCCCTCAAGCCGGTGCATACAAATCATATGTATCAAGCTTGTTACATATATAACCAATACGAGGACCAGTGAGAGACTTGGTGAAAATATCTGCAAGCTGATCATTCGACCTCACAAACTTTGTAGCAATCTCTTTTGAAAGTATCTTTTCTCTGACGAAGTGACAATCAATCTCAATGTGTTTAGTTCTCTCATGGAACACCGGATTTGATGCAATATGAAAGGCAACTTGATTATCGCACACAAGTTCCATCCGACTGATTTCATCAAATTTCAACTCCTTGAGCAATTGTTTGGTCCAGACTAGTTCACATGTTGCCATAGCCATTGCTCAATATTATGCTTCTGCACTAGACCGAGCAACTACATTCTGTTTCTTGCTCTTCCAAGAGACCAAATTTCCTCCTACTATAACACAATATCCAGACGTAGAACGTCTATCAGAAGGTGATCCTGCCCAATCAGCATCTGAGTATCCAACGATCTGCTCATGACCTCGATCCTCAAACAGTAATCTTTGCCTGGAGCCAATTTGATATACCGAATAATGCGGACAACTGCATCCCAATGACTATCACAGGGAGAATTCATAAACTGACTTACAACACTCTCAAGATAAGAAATGTCGGATCTACTCACTGTGAGATAATTTAATTTACCAACCAACCGCCTATAGCTTGCAGGATCGCTAAGCGACTCCCCCTGTCCTGGCAAAAGTTTAGAATTCGAATCCATGGGAGTGTCAACAGGTCTGCAACCTATCATCCATGTCTCCTCAAGAATGTCTAAAGCATATTTTCTTTGAGAAATAACAATACCTGAGCTTGACTGAGCAACCTCAATATCTAGAAAGTACTTCAATCTACCTAGATCCTTAGTTTGGAAGTGCTGGAAGAGATGTTGCTTCAGATTGGTAATACCATCCTGATCATTGCCAATAATAACAATATCATCAACATAGACTACCAAATAAATACAGAGACTTGAAGCAGAGTGCCGATAAAACACAGAGTGATCAGCTTCACTACGAGTCATGCCAAACTCCTGGATAACCGTGCTGAACTTACCAAACCAGGCTCAAGGAGACTGCTTTAGACCATAAAGTGACTGACGCAAGCGACATACAAGGTCACGAGACTCCCCCTGAGCAATAAAACCAGGTGGTTGCTCCATATAAACTTCATCCTTATGGTCACCGTGAAGAAAGGCATTCTTAATGTCAAGCTGATAGAGAGGCCAATGACGAACCGCAGTCATGGATAAAAACAGGCGAACTGATGCTACTTTAGCCACGGGAGAGAAGATATCACTGTAATCGAGCCTAAATCTGAGTATATCCTTTGGCAACAAGACGAGCCTTAAGTCGATTAACCAGGCCATCGGAACCAACTTTGACTGCATAAACCCAACGACAACCAATAGTAGATTTACCTGAAGGAAGAGGAACATGCTCCCAAGTACCACTTGTATGTAAAGCAGACATCTCGTCACGCATAGCCTGTCACTGTCACCATCCTGGATGAGACAACGCTTCACCTGTAGACTTAGGGATGGAAACCGAGGACAAAGAAGATATAAAAGCATAATAGGGAGATGACAGACGATGCTAACTTAAATCGACATAATGGGGATTAGGATTAAGTGTGTTCTGTGTACCTTTCCGAAGTGCAATCGGTGTACTAGGAAGAGACAAGTCCGCAGTAGGAGCAGGGTCAGGTGCAGAACGAGAACCAATTGGGCCTGATGTAGGGCGTGGACGACGATAATAAGTCAAGAGTGGTGTTCCTGTGGTTGGGGATCTAGGAGGAACAACACTAGACTCCTCAACGGTTGGTATGGGTGAAACTGTTGTGGTCGAAGGTGGAGGAGGAACTATACTAAACTCCTTAAAAGTCGGTATAGGTAAGACCTCAAATATATCATGGTGATCAGCAGAGGTAAAGAAAGGTTTAGACTCAAAAAATGTGACGTCAACTGACATAAGGTACCTACGAAGATCAGGGGAATAACAACGATATCCCTTCTGAACACGAGAATAACCAAGGAAGACACACTTGAGAGCACGAGGAGCTAACTTATCTTTCTCGGGGGCTAAGTTATGAACAAAACACGTGCTCCCAAAAACACGAGGTGAAAGAGAGTATAAAGGTGATTGGGGAAACAATATTGAATGCGGAATCTGATCCTTGATGGGAGATGAAGGCATCTGATTAATCAAATAACAAGCTGTGAGAACTGCATCGCCCCAAAAACGCAACGGAACACGAGATTCAATTAGATGTGTGCAAGCAATCTCAATAAGGTGCCTATTCTCTCCCTGCAACCCCATTTTGCTGAGGGGTAGTACAAGGACAAGATGTCTAATCAATAATTACTTGAGAAGACATAAACTGCTGAAACTGAGAAGATAAATATTATAAGGCATTATCACTGCGAAAAATGCGAATAGAAACACCAAATTTGTTTTTGATTTCCGCACAGAAACTCTGGAATATAGAAAATAACTCAAAACGATCTTTCATTAAGAAAAGTCAAGTATATCTTGAATAATCATCAAAAAAACTAATATATACCACAATGGAGGGCACGAGTCAAACGACTAACAGATGCAAGACTAAAAGGACATCCAGGGACATAAAGAACGGAATCTAGGGGGGATAGAAGACAAGGGATTAGCTTGTCCAACTTCATTTGCCTTAGTTTGACATCCATTGGCTAAAGTAACAGTGGGAATGTGAATATACAATATTCGACAAAAGAGATATATTACCAGAGAAGTGATCAGAAGCGCCTGAGTCCATGACTCATGGTCCAAGAGTACTAGACCGGGAAACACAAGCAAAAGAATTACCAGCAACAGAAGTATCAGTCTGAGCAACCGAGGCTACTTGTGGAGATGTCTGCTTACTTGCTCGATACTAAAGGAGCTCATTATATTCTTCTTTAGATAAAGAAAATCCCTGGTTACTTGTAGTCTCGGTCTGAGCAATGTAAGCATTTTTGGGTGGACGACCATGTAAGGAATAGCACATTTCACGAGTGTGTCCAAGTTTGTGACAATAAGAATACTTGGTTCTAGATCTTCCAAAACGACCTCCTCCTTGTCTATTCTCCATAGTTTGAGACGCCCGAACATCCACTGTCTGAGATGCGAGAACAGAGGAATCAAGTATCTGTGATGAGATCACTGGGTGACTTGGTGCTGCAGCAAGGCGGAGTAATCGAGAGAATAATTCATCAACTGTAGGAACAGTCGGACTAGCCAAAATCTGATCGCGTACTGAATCAAGATCATTAGGAAGTCCAGTGAGGGTAAGAACTAGAAACATCTTCTGTAGCTGCTCTTGTTGTTTTTCAACACTAGCAGAAACTGGCATCAACTTCTCAAATTCCTCCATGACTGCATGTACTTGACCAAAGTAAGTAGACATATATAATACTTGCTTCTTTAACTTTGTCATCAACGATATCACATCATAGAAGCGAGACATGTCATTAGTGAATAAGGTACGAGCTTATGCCCAAACCAAATAACATGTATGAAATGAACGAAACAAGAGCACCAACTTGGAATCAATAGATCGCCACAAGATGCTACATAACTGAGCATCGATCTTTGCCCAAAGTGCTATCTCCTTTTCATCTCCTTCGCTAGACTATTTGATTAGATGATCTTGAACGCCTTGACCTTTTACACCACAACTCGACAGATGAAGCCCAAGCTAAGTAGTTTGAACTTCCCGTTAAAGGTTATGAGGTAATCATAACATTAGAGCTTACAAAACTAATGTTTCTAGACCTAAAAACATCAAATCCCAAAGACATCGTTGCAAATTATTACAAAATAAGAGAAAGAATCAACTGTAATCAACTGAAACAGAGTAAGGAAATACTGTAGTCGTCGGAATCTTACTGTAGCTTCCGGAAAAAATACTGTTCACGCCAGAAAAATATAAAAGCGGTCATAATTTGTTGTAACCTGGATGGGTAGGCTCGGAATTCCCTTGCGAACAATCTGTCCCAAAGAATTTTTTCCAAAAAGTGACTGGAAAGGGCCCCACGAGCCGGCGCGTGACGTCGGAGCTTCACCGGAAAAATTTCTTCATGCGGCGCGTGGGAGCGCGTGGAGGGTCTTCTGACGGAGATATTTTTATGGGTTGGTCGCCGGAGGCCGATCTACTTCGTGGTGATGTTGGTTTTTGCACAACAATGACGAAAAATGGCTTTTTCTTTTTTAAAAACGGCAGACCTGTGTTTGCTGGAAAAAAGACTTCCGATTGACTGATTTCTCTTCCCGAAATCGCTGGAATTTATGCACAGCGATAAATCTCTCACGATTGCTCTGATACCATGTGAGAAAGCACGGGAGAAAATATATTATTGATATTAGATACTTAATACAATACAAGAGGTACTTATTTATAGTTATACTCTACAAGGACATATCAATCATATTCCAATGTGGGACAAGACTACATTATGTACATATCTGTAAACTAACAACATTCAAGGAGACGGTTTTTGAAAAAATCTTGTCTTCGGATGAAATTCAGCTTCTATGTCGCCTCCTAGCCAAATTTGACTCTGATATTGTTGCCACATCCAATTATGTGCAATTAGGTACTGCCTTTGTTGCTCATCTTAATTCTTGGATTGTTGATTCTGGTGCAAAGAGACACATGACAGGCTCTTCTAAAGGCATTCAATACTATTCTTTGTGTCTCAAAGGAGATAATGTTAAAATAGTCAATCGTTCTTTAACACTTATCTTTGGAATAGGTTCTGTCGTTTGTACTCTTAATATTAAACTATCATCTATACACCATGTCCCTGAGTTCCTTGTCAATCTTTTATCAGTTAGTGCCATCACCAAAGCTCTAAATTGTAAAATCGAGTTCTTTCCAGATCATTGTATTTTTCAGGATCTTCAAACAAGGAAAAGGATAGGTAGTGGTAGATTGCGTGATGACTTGTATATATTAGATGGAATTCAAAACTCTGGTCAAGCCATTTTTTAGGAAAAGAAAGAATGTCAACCAAGAAATAATACAGCGGCATAGACGGTTAGGACAACCATCATTCTTTGTTTTGAAGAAGTTATATCCCGATTTGTTTTCAAGGACTCAATTTGAATTTGTGTTCTATCATGTGTGGGAATATGCCACGCATACTAGAAACTCTTATCCTGTGAGTGATAATAGAAGCAAATTTTCATTTATGACTATTCATTCTGATATATGGGTTCCTACCCAAACTGTTTCTTTGTCTGGAAGTCGATAGTTTGTTACTTTCATTGATTGTTGCACTAGAATGACTTGGGTATATTGCCAAAAGTGAAGTATTCTCTTGTTTTCAGTCATTTCATAAGATGATTTGTACTCAGTATGATGCCAAATAAAAATCTTGAGAACTAACAATGGGAGTGAATACATGGATAAAAGATTTGGTGCTTATTTGGAGTCCAATGGGATAGTCCATCAGACTAGTTGTCCTTACACTAGTGCACAAAATGCGGTCGCTGAAAGAAAAAATAGGCATTTATTAGAGGTAGCAAGATCTGTTATGTTCACCATGCATCTACCAAAACCTTACTAGGGTGATGTTATTCTAGTGGCTACTTATCTTATCAACATAATGCCACTTAAAACCCTCAATTTTCAAAATGCTCTGGATGCTTTAAAGGGTAAGAATGAATATATTGTTCCTCCAAAGGTGTTTGGGTGTGTTTGCTTTGTCTACACTAGAAATTTTGGGAAACTTGATCCTACAACTATAAAGTGTGTTTTCAATGAATATTCTCCGACACAGAAAGATTACAAATGTTATCATCCTCCTCTAGGAGATCCTTGTTAGCATGGATGCTACCTTTCAAGAATCTGAGCCCTATTTAAGTATTACCACATCACCTCTACAGGGGGAGAAAAATAAGGAGGAAAGTTTATTATACCTAGTTCTAGGGGTGTTTATCGGGCGGATCGGGCGGATAATCACGCTTAACGGTTCGGCTTATCGGTTATCGGATTATAAATGTAATAATCCGCTAGCCATCCAATAAAACAACGGGCGGATTGGAATCGGATTGACAATTATTTGGTGGTTATCGGGCTGTTTATCGGCTAAACCAAATAGAAAATTTTTGAACAATCAATACCAAACGGCCAAATGCATAGTTCAAACTGTCTCTGTTAGCTGTAGTAGCCAAGAAAGCAAATTGTATCATAAATACGAAAGTTTCCCTACAATAAGGGTTGGCTATTGCCAAGCTACACTAACAGTTAATTTGCTTATAGTCGCAAAAGTTTTCCTACAAAGGGGCTGGCTTCACAACCCATAAGGGACGGCTTGCCAAACTACATAACTCAGAAAACTTTTTGTACTATAACCAACTTTAGCTGTTATAACTCAGAAAACTTTCGTACTACAATAAGCTAACTTTCTTAGAGTATTCTTACTCTATTTTCATACATGGACCGGCCTTTCCATCCATTCGAAAGAAAGAACAAGAGGGAGATTTAGAAGGAACTCATATGTAATATATCACAAAGGTTTACAAAGGTTACAAGATGATCTTACAACTACTACATGGCCTCCTTTATATAGGAATAGGAGGTTATTACAAGACAAACTTATATTATAAAATAAACCTATCTTACATGGCAAACCTATCTACGAGTGGGTCCCTTTGTACATGTGAAGGACCTTAGGCAAAGCAACTAAAAAGCTTCTGAAAACATGTGAAAGAGGAGAAATATACATGGTTTAGCATGTGAAAATTTGTGGGAGCATGTGAAAGTGTGTGAAAATAGGGTGCTACATGTGACGAAGCATGTGGAGGCATGTGGAAGCAAGTGAAAGTGGGACCCGGATGGTTTGGAAGGATATGGAATTTTGTCATGGCATGGGTAAATGGTTTTTTAGGGTATTTTGGTAGATAATGTGGGATTATGGTGGGATTAGCAGGGATTTGGATAATTAGCTTCCACTGATTTTCTCGGTTTGTCTTCTAGGCATCTTTTCAAAGATCTTGTGTAGTAACGCCTGGAACTTGACGGCTCTTCTTCGCTATGTTCCTTCTCCTTTGGATTGAGGGATGTGATCCGCAACCTTATTCTGGAGATATCTTCAGTGATCTTTTCCCGGATAACTTCATACGGAGTTTGATATGCCTTTGCTGCTTCTCGAACTTTTTCCCAGTGAGGATAAGTGCTGGTATAATTCCAGCTTGCCCAATCTTTTGGCCATATCTGTTTCGGGATGCACCTGTTTTGCTGGAAGATAATTCTTTGTGTTTCACTATATTCTTCTTTCATTGATAAAATAGATACGGGAAATTTCCACCAGAATGACGCCTCTGCTTGTGCCTGGACTTTCTGCTTGTGCCTGGACTTTTCCATTAATAATCTTCACTGGCCTATGAAACATGAATACCTTTGCTTCATAGGAATCGTTGAAACATTTTATCCAATATCTTCTAGGCTTGAACCATAGTAAAAATACTTTAGAGCTGGTTCAATGTTGTCAAAATCTTTGAAGACGTTGCACTTGAATTCCATGAAAATGTAGTATTAATGGCATAGGTACCAGAAAAACCATAATAGTTCTTGTGGAAAATTCTTGGCTTGTGCTATGAATATATGGCAGAATGGGTATTCTGGATTGACTCCATAAGGCTTGAGAATGGATCCTCCATGTTGCCGGAAAACTTGGAGCTCATAATAAGTATTGAGAATGTTGCTCGGCATCTTTAAACTTTCCGCTGGCATATCCGCATATTTTCCTCTGGCCATCTTTTTCTTCAAATAGAATAGCACTCCAATATTCGTTGCTGGCATCAGTTTGCAGTATTTTCTTACCTTCTGAAGGGATGTAAAGGGACTTGACATTTTTAGATATCTCCTTTATTTCTCTGACTACTTCATCTTGTTTCTTTCCCCATGATGGAGCATTTTTCTTGAGCATCTCTGTGAGCGGAGAAATGTACGTAGAGATATTTGGGATGAAATCTCTTAACTTAATTTACTACACCCAAGAACTGTTAGGTTTGCTTTCTTGGAGTCTCTTGCTCTGTTCTTTATAATGTGGTATCAGAGCAAGCCCATCGTTTCGGAGGGAGGAACAGTTTACTAAATATGTCTGAGTCATTTCCATCATCCTCTTCCCTTACAAAAATGAATGTCTCCTACTATATATAAAACTTTGTCCAAAAAATATGATTACCTCTATGAAGTAGATATCCTACCCGACGAACAAAAAGTATCTTCCACTGAACTACCCCTTATAAACCCTTACTCAGCCTTTGCCAAAAAATCATTTGCACCATGGACCCAAA